GAGGCAGAAGAACGAATAAGTGAGCTGGAAGACAAAACAGTGGAAATAACTGCCAAGGAGCAGAATAAAGAAAAAAGAATGAAAAGAACTGAAGACAATCTCAGAGACCTCTGGGACAACACTAAACGCACCAACATTCGAATTATAGGGGTCCCAGAAGAGGCAGAAGAACGAATAAGTGAGCTGGAAGACAAAACAGTGGAAATAACTGCCAAGGAGCAGAATAAAGAAAAAAGAATGAAAAGAACTGAAGACAATCTCAGAGACCTCTGGGACAACACTAAACGCACCAACATTCGAATTATAGGGGTCCCAGAAGAAAAAGAGAAAAACAAAGGGTCTGAGAAAATATTTGAAGAGATTATAGTTGAAAACTTCCCTAACATGGGAAAGGAAATAGTCACCCAAGTCCAGGAAGCACAGAGAGTCCCATACAGGATAAACCCTAGGAAAAACACACCAAGACACATCTTAATCAAACTAACAAAAATTAAATTCAAAGAAAAAATATTAAAAGCAGCAAAGGAAAAACAAAAAATAACATACGAGGGAACCCCCGTAAGGTTATCAGCTGATTTTTCAGCAGAAACCCTTTAAGCCAGAAGGGAGTGGCAGGATATACTTAAAGTGATGAAAGAGAAAAACCTACAACCAAGATTACTCTACCCAGCAAGGATCTCATTCAGATTCGATGGAGAAGTCAAAAGCTTTTCAAACGAGCAAAAGCTAAGAGAATTCACACCACCAAACCAGCTTTACGACAAATGCCAAAGGAACTTCTCTAGGCGGTTAACACAAGAGAAGAAAAAGACCCACAAAACAAACCCAAAAACAATTAAGAAAATGGTAACAGGAACATACATATTGAAAATAACCTTGAATGTAAATAGGTTAAATGCCCCAACCCAAAGACACAGACTGGCTGAATGGATACAAAAACAAGACTCATACATATGCTGTCTACAAGAGACCCACTTCAGACCTAGGGACACATACAGACTTGAGATAGAGGGGATGGAAAAAGATATTCCATGCAAATGGAAATCAAAAGAAAGCTGGAGTAGCAATTCTCATCTCAGACAAAATAGACTTTAAAATAAAGAATGTTACAAGATATAAGGAAGGACAATACATAATGATCAAAGGATCAATCCAAGAAGAAGATATAACAATTATAAATGTTTATGCACCCAACATAGGAGCACCTCAATACATAAGGCAAATGCTAACAAGCATGAAAGGAGAAATCGACAGTAACACAATAATAGTAGGGGACTTTAACACACCACTTACACCAATAGACAGATCATCCAAACAGAAAATAAATAAGGAAACACAAGCTTTAAATGACACACTAGATCAGAGAGATTTAACTGATATTTATAGAACATTCCATCCAAAAGTAGCAGAATACACTTTCTTCTCCAGTGCACACAGAACATTCTCCAGGATAGATCACATCTTGGGTCACAAATGAAGCCTCGGAGAATTTAAGAAAACTGAAATCATATCAAGCATCTTTTCTGACCACAGCGCTATGAGATCGGAAATCAATACAGGAAAGAAACTGTAAAACACACAAATACACGGAGGCTAAACACTGTGCTACTAAATAACCAAGAGATCACTGAAGAAATCAAAGAAGAAATTAAAAAATACATAGAAACAAATGACAACGAAAACATGCCAACCCAAAACCTATGGGACACAGCGAAAGCAGTTCTAAGAGGGAAGTTTATAGCAATTCAATCTCACCTCAAGAAACAAGAAAAATCTCAAATAAACAATCTAACCCTGCACTTAAAACAACTAGAGAAACAAGAACAAGAAAACCCAAAGTCAGTAGAAGGAAAGAAATCAACAAGATCAGAGCAGAAATAAATGAAAGAGAAATGAAAAAACAACAGCAAAGATCAATAAAACTAAAAGCTGAGGGCTTCACTGGTGGCGCAGTGGTTGAGAGTCCGCCTGCCGACGCAGGGGACACGGGTTCGTGCCCCGGTCTGGGAAGATCCCACATGCCGTGGAGCGGCTGGGCCTGTGAGCCATGGCTGCTGAGCCCGCGCATCCGGAGCCTGTGCTCCGCAGTGGGAGAGGCCACAACAGTGAGAGGCCTGTGTACCACAAAAAAAAACAAAAACTAAAAGCTGGTTCTTTAAGAAGATAAACAAAATTGATAAACCCTTAGCCTGACTCACCATTAAAAACGGAAGAGGAGGCAAAACAATAAAATTAGAAATGAAAAAGGAGAAATCACAACTGACACAGCAGAAATACAAAGGATTATAAGAGAATACTACAAACAACTGCATGCCAATAAAATGGACAACCACAAAGAAATGGACAAATTCTTGGAAAGGTACAATTTTCGAAGACTGAACCAGGAAGATTTAGAATATATAAACAGACCTATCAAAAATAATGAAATTGAAAGCATAATTAAAAATCTTCCAACAAACAGAAGTCCAGGAGCAGATGGCTTCACAGGCAAATTCTATCAAACATTTAGAGAAGAGCTAACACCGATCCTCCTCAAACTCTTCCCAAGAACTGCAGAGGGAGAAACACTCCCAAATTCATTCTATGAGGTCACCAACACCCTGATACCAAAAGCAGAAAAAGATATCACAGAGAAAGAAAATTATAGACCAATATCTCTGATGAACATAGATGCAAAAATCCTCAACAAAATAATAGCAAACAGAATCCAACAGCACATTAAAAGGATCATATACCATGATCAAGTGGGATTTATCCCAGGGATGCAAGGATTCTTCAATATACACAAATCAATGTGAAACACCACATCAACAAATTAAGGAATAAAAACCATGTGATCATCTCAATAGATGCAGAAAAAGCTTCTGACAAAATTCAACACCCATTTATGATAAAAAGTCTCCAGAAAATGGGCATAGAGGGAACCTACCTCAACATAACAAAGGCCATACATATATGACAAACCCACAGCAAGCATCATACTCAATGGTGAAAAACTGAAAGCATTTCCACTAAGATCAGGAAGAAGACAAGGATGTCCACTTTCACCATGCTTATTCAACATAGTTTTGGAAGTCCTAGTCACAGCAATCAGAGAAGAAAAAGAAATAAAAGGAGTACAAATTGGAAAAGAAGAAGTAAAACTGTCAGTTTGCAATGACATGATACTATACATAGAAAATCCTAAAGATGCCACCAGAAAACTACTAGAACTAATCAATGAATTTGGTAAGGTTGCAGGATACAAAATTAATGCACAGAAATCTCTGGCATTCCTATGCACCAACAACGAAAAATCAGAAAGAGAAATGAAGGAAACACACCCATCTACCATTGCAACATAAAGAATAAAATACCTAGGAATAAACCTGCCTAAGGAGGCAAAAGACTTCTACTCAGAAAACTATAAAACACTGATGAAAGAAATCAAAGATGACATAAACAGGTGGAGAAATATACCATGTTCTTGGATTGGAAGGATCAATATTTGTGAAAATGACTATACTACCCAAAGCAATCTACAGATTCAATGCAATCCCTATCAAACTACCAATGGCATCTTTCACAGAACTAGAACAAAAAATTTTACAATTTGTATGGAAACACAAAAGACCCCAAATAGCTAAAGCAATCTTGAGAAAGAAAAACAGAGTTGGAGGAATCAGGCTCCCTGACTTCAAACTATACCACAAAGCTACAGTAATCAAGACAGTATGGTACTGGCACAAAAACAGAAATATAGATCAATGGTACAGGATAGAAAGCCCAGAGATAAACGCATGCACGTATGGTCACCTAATTTATGACAAAGGAGGCAAGAACATACAATGGAGAAAAGACAGCCTCTTCAATAAGTGGTGCTGGGAAAACTGGACAGCTACATGTAAAAGAATAAAATTAGAACACTACCTAATACCACACACAAAAATAAACTCAAAATGGATTAAATACTTAAATGTAAGACCAAACACTATAAACCTCTTAGAGGAAAACATAGGAAAACACTCTCTGACATAAACTACAGCAAGATCTTTTTTGACCCACCTCCTAGAGTAATGGAAATAAAAACAAAAATAAACAAATGGGACCTAATGAAACTTAAAAGCTTTTGCACAGCAAAGGAAACCGTAAACAAGACAAAAAGACAACCCTCAGAATTGGAGAAAATATTTGCAAATGAAACAACAAAGGATTAATCTCCAAAATATACAAACAGCTCATGGAGCTCAATATCAATAAAACAAACAATCCAGTTAAAAAACATGTGGAAGACCTAGGTATACATTTCACCAAGGAGGACATATGGATGGCTGGGAGGCACATGAAAAGATGCTCAACATCACTAATTGTTAGAGAAATGCATATCAAAACTACAATGAGGTATCACCTCAAACCGGTCAGAATGGCCATTATCAAAAAATCTAGAAACAGCTTAATGCTGGAAAGGGTGTGGTAAAAAGGGAACCCTTCTGCACTGTTGGCAGGAATGTAAATTGATACAACCACTATGGGAAACAGTATGGAGGGTCCTTAAAAAACTAAAAATAGGACTTCCCTGGTGGTGCAGGGGTTAAGAATCCGCCTGCCAATGCAGGGGACACAGGTTCGAGCCCTGGTCCAGGAAGATCCAACATGTCATGGAGCAACTAAGCCTGTGCACCACAACTACTGAGCCTGCACTCTGGAGCCCATGAGGCAGAATGTTTAAGCCCGTGTGCCACAACTACTGAAGCCTGCATGCCTAGAGCCCATGCTCTGCAACAAGAGAAGCCACTGCAATGAGAAGCCCACACACCACAACAGAGCAGTCCCTGCTTGTCGCAACTAGAGAAAGCCCACGTGCAGCAATGAAGCCCCAACACAGCCATAAGTATATAAATAAATAAATAAATTTACTAAAAAAAAAAATAAACTAAAAATAGAACTACCATATGACCCAGCAATCCCACTACTGGGCACATACCCTGAGAAAACCGTAATTCAAAAAGAGACATGTACCACAATGTTTACTGCAGCACTATTTACAATATCCAGGACATGGAAACAACCTAAATGTCCAATGACAGATGAATGGATAAAGAAGATGTGGCACATATATACAATGGAATATTATTCAGCCATAAAAAGGAACAAAATTGGGTCATTTGCAGAGATGCGGATGGACCTAGAGTCTGTCATACAGAGTGAAGTAGGTCAGAAAGAGAAAAACAAATACCATATGCTAACTCGTATATACGGAATCTTTAAAAAAAAGGTACTGATGAACCTAGTTGCAGGGCAGGAATAAAGAGGTAGACATAGAGAATGGGGCTGAGGACATGGGGTGGGAGGGGGAAGCTGGGGCAAAGTGAGAATAGCATGGACATATATACACTACCAAATGTAAAACCGTTGGCTGGCGGGAAGCAGCAGCATAGCACAGGGAGATCGGCTTGGTGCTCTGTGACCACCTAGAGGGCTGGGATAGGGAGGATGGGAGGGAGGCTCAAGAGGGAGGGGATATTGGGACCTGTGTATGCATATGGCTGATTCGCTTTGTTGTGCAACAGAAACTAACATGGTATTGTGAAGCAATTATATTCCAATAAAGATCTATTAAAAAAAAAGAAAAGAATCAATTTCAGTTATTTTCCAAACATGTATTCCTGAAAATAGAGATGAACTCTGTGGTCAAATCAGAACATTAAAATGCTGTAGAATAATGGCAATTATCATGCACCACAGTGAAAAATAAAGGATAATAACATGTTAAGAATAGACTAGAATCTAAGAGATTAAGCAAAAATTAAAAATTCTATTGCTGGTGTAAAGGATACCACTATTCTTGTCTCTGAGACTATAATGGGAGAGGATGTGCAAAATGTAATAAATGCACACTTGAACATATACTACAAAGCCCAGGTGAAAGGAGATTAGAAAGTTCGCTCTCATCAATTGTAATTAACTAAAGAATAATTCTACTATAATGTAAATTATCATCTCTCATGGTTATCATAGGTTCAAATTCAATTTTTAAAAATCTTCAAATATTGCAAAGAGAAAATACAAGTACTGAAGAGATTAAGGGACGTGGTTTTCTGATACTACAAACGAAGAGATGGCATTTAGGAAAATATACACAGAGAACAATATGGATATTATTTCCTACTTTATCTAAACTATCTTACGGAAAATTACGGTTATCAATATAAGTGACTTAATTTTGAAACAGCTTCATTTTAATGAATTACAGTAGGAATGAAAAAGAAAATGCCATATGAGGTTTTACCGTAGTCTCTGGATATTGGAGGCAACGCCAGAGAGACGATATATTCCATCCACGATGCCATATCTCTCAATGAACGCCGTACAGCTTTGAAGAACCTGGGGCACTAGAGAGAATTTTTGAAGACATGGATTAAGTTGAGAGTATTCAGTGGAAACAAAGTCACAAAAAATGAGAATGTCTTAGCAAAATGAAATTGGCAAATTAAAGTTTTAAGGGGTGGAGATTAATCTACTACAAAAACTGACAAGGGCATATTTAATTAATTTCACATCTATGCTAGATAAGTGGTCACATATGGTCACCTAATTTATGACAAAGGAGGCAAGAAAATACAATGGAGAAAAGACAGCCTCTTCAATATGTGGAGCCGGGAAAACTGGACAGCTACATGTAAAAGAATGAAATTAGAACACTCCCTAACACCATACACAAAAATAAACTCAACATGGATTAAAGACCTAAATGTAAGGCCAGACACTATCAAACTCTTAGAGGAAAACATAGGAAGAACTCTTTGACATAAATCAAAACAAGATCTTTTTTGACCCACCTCCTAGAGTAATGAAAATAAAAACAAAAATAAACAAATGGGACCCAACTAAACTTAAAAGCTTTTGCACAGCAAAGGAAACCATAAACAGGATGAAAAGACAACCCTCAGAATGGGAGAAAATATTTGCAAATCAAGCAACGAACAATGGATTAATCTCCAAAATACACAAACAGCTCACGGAGCTCAATACCAAAAAAACAAACAAACCAATTAAAAAATGGGCAGAAGACCTAAACAGACATTTCACCAAAGAAGACATACAGATGGCCAAGAGGCACATGAAAAGATGCTCAACATCACTAATTATTAGACAAATGCAAATCAAAACTACTATGAGGTACCACCTCACATCGGTCAGAACGGCCATTATCAAAATATCTACAAACAATAAATACGGGAGAGGGTGTGGAGAAAAGGCAACCCTTTTGCACTGTTGGTGGGAATGTAAATTGATATAGCCACTAGGGAGAACAGTATGGAGGTTCCTTAAAAAATTAAAAATAGAATTACCATATGACCCAGCAATACCACTACTGGGCATATACCCTGAGAAAACCATAATTCAAAAGGGCACATGTACCCCAATGTTCACTGCAGCACTATTTACAATAGCCAGGACATGGAAACAACCTAAATGTCCAACGACAGATGAATGGATAAAGAAGATGTGGTACGTGTATACAAGGGAATATTACTCAGCCATAAAAAGGAACAAAATTGGGTCATTTGTAGAGATGTGGATGGACCTAGAGTCTGTCATACAGAGTGAAGTAAGTCAGAAAGAGAAAAACAAATATCGTATATTAATGCATATATGTAGAATCTAGAAAAATGGTACAAATGGACCTATTTTCAGGGCAGGAATAGAGACACAAATGTAGAGAATGGACATGTGGACACAGAGAGGGAAGAGGAGGGTAGGACAAATTGGGAGATTAGATTTGACATAAATACACTACCATGTGTAAAATAGATAGCTAGTGGGAACCTGCTGTATAGCACAGGGAGCTCAGCTCAGTGCTCTTTGATGACCTAGATGGGTGGGATGGGGTGGGTGGGAAGGAGGTCCAAGAGGGAGGGGATATAGGTATACATATAGCTGATTCACTTCACTGTACAGCACAACATTGTAAAGCAATTATACTCCAAAAAAACAAAAAGAAAAAAACCTGAAAGAAAATAACGTACCATCTGTCAAAAAGTATAGGTAACCTCCCTGGGATTCTTACAGCCATGTGATATTATATTCATACTTGCTTATGTTCTCCCAAACAAGTAGGGAAACTTGAAAATATGGGGAATTAGAGGTCTTTCCCTGATTATACAGCTAAGCCTCTACAGACATCATACTTCATGGAAAACATCTGAACTGTTTCTTTACACTTTATGTTCCCTAAGTAAAAGGACTGAATGTCCAAAAAACAATCACATCATAGAACTTCATAAATAAAACTATATAACTGAACATTGCTATTACTTAGGATTTTAAGAGAGACTAATGAGACATATAATTAAAATTAGTAGCAAAATGAAAGAGAAGAGCATAAACTTTCATTTTGAAAAACAGAGAGTAGAAACTGAAGAACAGTATAGGAAGATAAAAAGAGAAAAGATCTGAATTCTTTTTTTCACTAACATAAGAAAGTAATATGAGAACCCAATATATTATTAGAAGAAATCCTAGTACAAAAAGGCATTTTATTAACTACCTTTTCCCCTCAAATCATCTAACCAACCAGCCAAGTGCACATTAAATAATAACCCAGTCAAAACATAACATTAGAAACCTCCAAAATGGTTCTTCCAAAAGGTGATATAACTTTTTTTTTTTTTTTTTTTTTCAGTACGCGGGCCTCTCACTGTTGTGGCCTCTCCCGTTGCGGAGCACAGGCTCCGGACGCGCAGGCCCAGTGGCCATGGCTCACGGGCCCAGCCGCTCCGCAGCATGTGGGATCTTCCCGGACCAGGACACGAACCCATGTCCCCTGCATCGGCAGGCGGACTCTCAACTCCTGCGCCACCGGGGAAGCCCAAAGGATATAACTTTAAGAATTATTCCCACATTCTCCAAATAATACACTTCTAAACCACTCATTTAATATTTTTAGTACTTTTTAATCATCAAATGACAATACAATAGGAAGTAAATGTTTAAATTAAACTGATGACCCTTAAGATTAGAATCATGGCTAAAAGTATAAGTAAGTATGACAAAAATTGGTCCTTTACTTTTCTTGACAGTTTCAGTTTCATTTCTGTTCTTTTCTCTTCATTTATTCAGTCAGTCATTCCCTTTACACATTCAGCCATCATTCAAAGATCCCTTTTATATGCCAGGCATCATGCAAGCATTGTATAACACAGACAAAACAGTCAAGTTCCATTCTCAAGGCAGTGGCTTCCAGGCCAGGAGTACACGGTACAGTGTTACACATTAGAATGTGCATCATGATTTTTGGTTAGAAAAATACGATTACTTAAAGGATTAATTTCAGGGGTTATTTGGGCCTTGCTTGTTTCTAGTGTGCTCTGATTATAAACTCCCCGTATATTTACAACAGTTTAAGAAAGCCTCTTGTTGAAAGGGCCAAATAACCTCAAACAGAAATACATTCGGGCAACAGAATTTACTCACCTTGAGTTTTAAAATATTTTTTACATTTTGTACCTAATGTAGTTTTACCTAGTTTTCTACAAAGTTCTCACTTTTTAAAAAACCTATCTCATTTTAAGGATATTTGGCTTCAAATATGTGCAGCAAATAAAACAAGTCCTATGAAAAAATCAATGACACCTACAAACCCTTTGTTCCACTAGAATAGATTTTATCATAGTTAGGGAATATATAACCATTACAGTTATTAAACCTGTTATTTTTTCATAAAGAAATAATATATTGGCATCTGTCCTCTCTACCACACTTACTAAGAATGGAAACACAACCAAAACTTCTAAGCACAACTAAAACTTGCTGAATTGATATTTGAAAGCTAATAACAAACTGGAAAACACTCCCTCATAATGATCACATCCATCCATTCATCTAAGCACTGAATTCTTGAATAAGAATTTAATTTACAGAAAAAGGAATTGAAATTTCTAGTTATAAAAGCTGGGAGGCTGGTCTTGGTAATTACAGTCTCAAAACTATGACTTTTTTTTCAAAAGAGAAATAAACATTTTAGAATAAACTGTGAGAAGGAAAACTGGCTGAGGAAGCTATCTGGACAGATATGAAAATAATGTAAACTAGCATAGCTACTATACCCCCTGTGTGAATGTTTTCCTCTTCCTGAACAGATCACAAGCATCTCTGATGCCAAAGTGCATTCCTAGACCCCTCTTGATTCTCGGCTGCCCCAGAACTCAGGTGAGTACCTGAGAACGTTCAATACGTGCTGCTGAACTTACCTGGGATAGGTACTGCTTGCCTAATCTACTTTAACTGATTATAGGAAATCAACAGGGAGAGGTCAGAAACTAAAATTATGAGTTTATAAATTTTATTTTTACCTTCAAAACCAGAATTCAGAAGGTGCTCCCCCAGGTCACAACCAAATACCCTTTCTTTCAAGATCCCACGCTGCTTCAACTTCTGTTTTGTTGGACGAGACTTCATGAATGTCCGTAAGAAAGTAATGAGCTTGCCGTGCTTTTTAGATACTAAAAAATAATAATAAAGAGAAAATACCTTAGTTGGGGTAAGAGGTCACGTTTTTACTTAGTGTGAAAAGAAATGCAGATCTCAATAGCTGACTACAAAATAATCTATTACAAGTATACTTTATATTCTGTAGGAAATTTTCAGCAGAAGTTGAAGAAACAGTTGCTTTACAAATAATATCAGGGTTTTGCATGTTCTTCTCACCAGCCTGTGATCTTATTTGATGGGATTGTGAGCAAACTGAAGTATTATAATTTGTGACTTCTTTAAATCAAGCATGGTAAACTAGCCATCTTCCCAATGCTACCCAAGCATGCTACAGGATAACTGGGACCTGAGTTTTATATTGCTTTGGAGATCTTCATGGTAAGTAAGACTTAAAATGGTGTAAATTTAAAAACTGCATTTCTAGTTAATTTCTAAAATATTTTATTTAGTGGTTAGAAATTTTCATGACATTTACAATCTGGAAAGTAAAACTGAAAAAATAAACAACTCCCTCGGGGCTTCCCTGGTGGCGCCATGGTTGGGAGTCCGCCTGCCGATGCAGGGGGCGCGGGTTCGTGCCCCGGTCCGGGAAGATCCCACGTGCCGCAGAGCAGCTGGGCCCGTGAGCCATGGCCGCTGGGCCTGTGCGTCTGGAGCCTGTGCTCCACAACGGGAGAGGCTCACGTACCGCCAAAAACAAACAAACAAACAAAAAACCTCCCTCTTTCTCATTGCATTATGATATAGATCACACTTGTCAAACTAATGGCTATGTAAGTACAAGACAGACACACACATAAAAAAGCATTAGATTTTCTATTAACATTCATCTGTAGTCTACCAAATATGTCACCTTAAATCCTTTGTAGATCCAGGCAAGAGGTAAGTAAATTACATATAGTAAGATATTTCCACTGACTTATATGTTAGAAAGATAACAGCGAAAGATCTGAAAGCAAACAAATCCTTAGAAAACTGACTTTTGCTGAGAAGTGCAGCCTGCAGGGAAAATTACTCTAGAAGTCAACATACAACAAATCACCATAAGATCAGAGATTAGCTGCAGGACAGAACACTAAGCCACATGGCCTCAATCCTCCTACTCAGTTTGTGTATGATCACAGGAGTCTTACTGAAGCCTGCTATAGTTTCTTGAGGGGACCCAAATCATAATCCCTTGAACTGATGAATCCTCCTGTAGGAATTCTGCGTACTGAGATTAACTTGTGGCCTAAATGGACCACCAGATGGGTTACTCTGACCAGATTAAACACTCTCTTTACATTTTGGGGGAAACTCTATTTACAGACTTAAGCATCTTTTCTATGAACTGTACAAAGGTGATCAACTGTAACTGGCCCATAACTGAGAGGTTTCGTGGGACATGAGCCTTTCAGTGCTAAAACCAGGAAAGTCCTGAACAAACTGGGACAAGGCAGTCATCCTAGACTGTACACAGATTAAAGAGGAAATTTATTTTTTCTATACCAATTAGTTAAAGTTTACTTAGAATCGTCAGTATAATTTTGATGCTATCTCTAACATGCTGTGACACTCTGGGTAAATTACAACCTCACTTGTATCTGAGATCCTTGCTACAAAGTTAAATGACATGGTCTCTCAACTGCTGAGACATTTATAGCACATTGGGGTAACTTCAGAAGTATGTCACACTTGTAATATTAGTATATTAAAAGTCACTGAACTTGTATGAGTTTTATTCTCCCCTAGTCGCTAGCAGACTGTGTGTTATGAATCTTTGTTGTTAAAGTGTGGCCATCAAACCATTTCTGTTCATTTTTGAACATTCTCTAACAAACTTTAAAATAATTTTGAGAAGATTAATGAATAAAAACAAATGAGTTTGCTTTATGGTAATTTAATATTATATTTATATATTTGGAAGAATTTTAATTTCTATAATATTCAATATTTCTACCTGGAAACAGGGTGTGTCATCAGTTTTCTAAAGCTATTATATCTCGCAGTAAAGTTTTCTAATTTTATGAAAAGACACATTCCACATATTTCTTGCTAGGGATACTGCTAAGTATTTTACCTTTTTTTTTTTTTTGCTGCTTTTGTAGAATAATAGTTTTCTTCAATTACAGTCTTAACTGGTAGTTACTGGTATACTGGAAAATTATTTCTTTATGTATGGCTCAAATCTGATCATTTTCTAAACTCCCAACAATTTTAGGAGAATTTTAGTTGATCCTTTCGGATTTCATGGATATGTAACTGTGTTAAAGCAAATATGGTAATTCCATCCTGTTTCTGATAAGAATAATTTCTGATTTCTTTTTCAGATTTTAATAATTAACCAGAACTTCCAAGGCACGTGCTAAAAAGTAGGCATTTGTACTTTGATGCTGAACTTGATGAAAATATCTGTTGGATTTGGCAACTGCATATAATGTACATGAGAAAGCATTCTTTTAGTCAGATTTCCAGGAATGTTTCAAAGGGATGGGAACTGAATTTTAGCTACTATTCATTTAGCAACAAACATGTAAGTGCCTCCTGTACCTCAGGAACTGAGAGTACAGTGGGCAACAAGTGAGACAAGCTCTTGCTGTCAGAGCTTACTGAGGAGAGAAGGAATGAACAAATAATAATACCCATAGAGCCGGCATTTATTTTATGCTTAGTTACGTGCCAACAACTGCATAAGTGTTTATATTTATTAACCATTCATTTCTCATAGGATCCTATAAGGAAAATACTATTATGACCCCCTTTTTAGAGGAAGAAACTCAGGCACAGAGTGCTAAGTAACATGTCTAAGGTCATGGAACCAGGATTAAAAGTCAGATGGTCTAGCTCAAAACCCAAGTTCTTAGCCACTGTATGATATAGCCTGAATTAAAACAGCAAGGTAATTTCAGATTGCTTTTAACTGCTAGTAGGAAATAAACAGAGTGCAGTAATAGTGATGAGAAAAAGAAACTACTGGGTGGGCCAAAAAGTTCCTTTGGTTTTTAAGTAAAAATAAAAGACACATTTTTCACTTTCACCAAGAACTTTGTTGAAAAACATATTCACCGTTTTGTTCCACTACCTTCTGCCATTTTTCAGGCAACTTCATAATTCCGTCTTCCCAAAATCTTTTATCTTTTTGAGCAAAGAACTGTTCCAGGTACCTTTTATAGTCTTCCAGGGAATTGAAATTTTTCCCATTAAGAGAATTTTGTAAAGACCGAAATAAATGGAAATCCAAAGGAGCAATGTCTAGTGAATAGAGCAGGTGAATCAGAACTTCCCAGCCAAGCTGTAACGGTTTTTGCATGGTCATCAAAGAGACATGTGGTCTTGCATTACCCTGATGGGAGATTATGCATTTTCTGTTGACTAATTCCGGACGCTCTTTGTCGAGTGCTACTTTCAGTTGGTCTAATCGGGAGCAGTACTAATTAGACCTGTTGGAATGAATAGTTTCGTTTTCTGGAAGGAGCTCATAATAGAGGACTCCCTTCCAATCCCACCATATACATAACATCACCTTCTTTGGATGAAGACTGGCCTTTGGTGTGGTTGGTGGTGGTTCATTTCACTTGCCCCACGATCTCTTCCGTTCCACATTATGGTACAGTATCCACTTTTCATGGCCCATCACAATTTGTTTTAAAAATGGAACATTTTCATTATGTTTAAGTAGAGAATCACATGCAGAAATACGGTCAAGGTTTTTATTCGCTTAACTTATGTGGAACCCAAAACATCAAAGCAATTAACATAACGAAGCTAATACAAATGATTTTCAGCACTTGATTTGAATATTTTGACTATGTCAGCTACTTCCCGAGTGGTATAACATTGATTGTTCTCAATTAATGTCTCGATTTGATTTAATGTCTCCATTTGATCGCTATCAACTTCAACTGGTCTACCCGACTGCGGAGCATTGTCCAGAGAGAAATCTCCAGCATAAAACTTCGCAAACCACTTTTGACACGTTCGATCAGTCACAGCACCTTCTCCATACACTGCACAAATCTTTTTTTGCGTTTCGGTTGCGTTTTTACCTTTCTTGAAATAATAAAGCATAATATGCCGAAAGTGTCACTTTTTTTCTTCCATCTTCAATATTAAAGTGGCTACACAAAAATTCACCAATTTTGATAAGTTTTTTTTAAATGCACGCTGATATGACAGCTGTCACAATACAATCTAACAAAATTGTTTCGAATGAAGTTAAAGACAACTAAGCGCTACTAAAGCCATCTTATGGAAAAAACCGAACAAACCTTTTGGCCAACCCAATACCTTGATAAGGTGAGGGAAGGTCTGAGGAAGTCATATATGAACTGGAAGATGCGAGTGTAGTGAACAAGGAAGACTGTGTGAAATGAGGCTGAAGAGGTAGGTAAAGGCCAGCACTAGAGGCCATAATACAGAGCCTGGATTTTATGCAATGAAAACACACTGAAGAGTTTAAACACTTTAGAAAGGTTACTTTAAAAATAACCCGATAAGTGTATTAGAAACCTAAATGTGCGTTAACAGCAAACTGATTGAATATTAATGGATACATCTGCGCAGAGGACTGCTGTTTGGCTTTTGTTTTTTTTTAAAGAGGATCTCTACCTATTGATATGAAGCAATCCCCAGAATATATTAAGTCAAAAAGGAAGGTAGAGAACAGTATATTTAGCATAAGAAAGGATATGGAATAACTACGTCACACACACATAAATTCATAATACATAATAAACACATGTATGTGTGTACATAAGAGCTTAGTTTTACAAAGAGAAACACTGGAAGGATAAACCAGAAATTAATAATAATGGGTAAAAAAAATGGGTGGGGAAAGGGTGGGGATAAAAAATGAGACTTCTGAATATACCTTTTTATGTAGTTTGACTTCTAAATTATGTTAATGTTCTTTCTACACGTTCAAATATAAATTTAGAAAGTTAAAAAAGCAAATCCTAAGACTGGAAATAACCTAAGAAATGTATCTAATAATATATCAAATTGGTAACACTGTCAACAGAGAGGAAATATT